ATCTTTTTAGATTTTGTTCGTATAACGAAATAGTGGTCTCGTGGTTGTAATTTAATTTTTATTCAAGTCTTTTAATTAATTTGTGCTTTAGTTTTTGGTTTGTAAATGAAACTAGTGTGTGGCCCGTGCGATGCACGGAAAAATAATATTACGATTGTATTATAAATTAAATATACAAATAAATTAATCAAAATTTACCCATTGTTTTTTAATTAAATCGTGTTGGACACAGTCCGACCGGATGGACCGAGAACAAGTTTATACTCAGTCTAGTTCACTTGAATAAAATATTTGCTATTGAATCAACACCAGTCGATTGAACTGGTTGGGTCGATACGATTTTCTAAATAAATTCGGTTATATTTAAAATTATATTAAATAAAATTGGATATTTTAATAAAATAGAGATTTATAAATTTTTTATCAATTAATTTAAACATTTGAATTCTTAAATTGTTTAGATATTTAAGTTATAAAAACTATTATATATTAAAACATATTTTTAAAGAAAAAAATAAATTGCATGATTTTTATAATTAAATTATATGATTAAATTGTATGATTTTATTAAAACGTATTTATAAATTAAATTGTATGTTTTTAAAGAAAACAATAAGAAAAATAATAAAACTACTATTTCTGAGTAACATTAAATGATGACCTATTTTTTTACTACTAATTTTAGTAAATATGATGGTTCTTTATATAAGTATAGATTAACAATAACTAGATGTCAGAATTAAAAATATTCTTATAAAATTAAATGTCTGTGTTTATACTAAGTTTGACTTCATAAATTAAATATTGGCACTATGAACTTTTTGTAATGCGTCACACAATTGAAGAAGTAATGTATATATGCATGGGTGGATCAAACGAGGACATTTCATAAAATGAGTATATGAGTTTTTGCATCAATACTCACATTAATTAATTAAAATATATATTTTGCATCAATACTCACATTAATAAAAAAATAATAATTATTGTTTTAAATCTAATTATAGGAGAATGCTACAATCCCGTTACGGGATGGTTCCGTTGTGTTTTTAAGCGTTGGATTAACTACCCATCACTAGATTACATGTATATCTATGGCTAGAAAACACAACGGAACCATCCCGTTACGGGATGGTAGCATTCTCCCTAATTATAATTACTTATAAGTTTCTAAAATTACAATTAAGTCTCCAGAAGTTATATTTTTCAAAATTAACCCTGCACTAAATCTGATTTTGAGAAACCAGCGACCGTACTACAAGTTGTCATCTTCTTCCTCCTCCTTCACAGTCACCGGCGAGATGCATCTACACAACCAAAACCAGCGGTCCTCAATTTCATGGTCTTACGGAAAATTCGAGTGCCTGGCCAATGCCCGACTCCAATTGAACCACCGAATGAACGTCATCCTGCTTGGCCCGGCCACGATCTCCAACCACTCGCGCATATCCCACGGTGCGCCGAAGCCTTGAATCACTGTGACGTGGAGCGGGTCGTGCATTCCATCGGAGAACAACTCGCCGGTCGTGAGTAACGCCACCAGAACTACACGCCAAAAATCCAAATCGCTGGGACTGCGGCCGGATGGCTGCGGGTCTAGATTTCCTAGCATCTCCTCATCGGAGTGCCCGACTCAGCCCACTTCCTCCTGGCGGACCCGTCGGAGGTGGTGTTCGACACCTCCCTGTCATGAGGTTAACGCTGATGATGAAAGTTTTTTTTGTTTTTGTTTTTTTTCTCTACAGTCTATGTATATTGGAAGCAACGGGAAAATTTCAAAACTAGTTCCGCAGTTATAGAGGGGTGACATTTTTTGTCCCAACAGAATTCAGAAAATATTAATAGTCCCCCAATTTTTAAAAAATGATCAAAAGTAGGACTTTTTCCAATTTTCTGACCCGAAAAGCCAAGTCGCACACGCGTAACGGGACTATTTTATATTTTCTGGACTCCGTTGGGACCAAAAGTGTCACCTCCCAAAACCTGTGGGACTAGTTGTGATTTTTTCCCTTAGCATTGTACTCAGCCACGTCAGATGAATGTGGCCACGTATGTGCGACGTGGCTTTCCGGCCAGAAAATTGAAAAAAGTCCTACTTTTGATCATTTTTTAAAAATTGCGGGACTATAATAATTTCTAGATTCCGTTGGGACAAAAAATGTCAGCCCCTATACCTATGGAACTAGTTTTGAATTTTTCACTTGAAGCAACTATGATTGTTGAGTGGTCAACAAACGCGTTCGGCCGGTCAACGACGGTCTAGGCAAGTAAATTATTTTATTTATTACATAACTAATTTTACAAATAATAATTAATATTTTTTATTATTTAATTAAGGTATATTTCAATTGATTAATGTGAGTATTAGTCTACACAAAATTCTTTATTTTATTACTTTAATTATTTAAATATTTTGACTCTTTGGCTTTAAGTGTTGATGGTTAACTTCTGTCGTTGACTTTTTTCTTTTTTTTTTTTCTTTTTC